GTGGGGTAGGGAGGGGCAGAGGGAGAAGGAGAAAGAATCTCAAGCAGACTGCACTGAGCACAGAACCTGATGTGCAGGGCTCCATCTCACAAGCCTGAGATCACGACCTGAGCTGAAACCAAGAGTAGAGCACTTAACCACCTGCGCCACCCAGGCGCCCCAGGAGCATTGTCATCTTAACAAAAACAATGATAGGGTAGCCCGGGTGGCTCAGCGGTTTAGCGCCACCTTCGGCCCAAGACATGATCCCGGAGACCCAGGATCGAGTCCTATGTCGGGCTCCCTGCATGGAGCTTGCTTTGCCCTCTGTGTGTGTCTCTCCCTCTCTCTCTGCCCCCCCTCTGTCTCTCATGAATAAATAAATCTTAAAAAAAATAACAATGATAAAAGTGATTGCCATGGTATCATGTAATTTATCTTTTATATTGTACAAAGCATTTACAGTCCCATTATGTCATTTTATTTTAGTCCAAAGCAGCATGTCCCAAAGTTATGGTCCCTGGAATCTTGGTTCCTCAAAAAAAGGTTTTGTGATCAAATAATTTAGGAAGCATTGCCAACTATGTTCTTTTATACTCTGCACTTAGAGATTCATTGCTAAAGGCTCTGAGAAGTTCTGCTGCAGATAAAGAAATCAGCTCAGTTTTGTGTAAACAGGTGTTTACCAAACTGTTATGGCTACTATTTTTTTTTAAAGATTTTATTTATTTATTCATGAGAGACACACACAGAGAGAAGCAGAGACATACGCAGAGGGAAAAGCAGGCTTCCTGCCGTGAGCCCAATGCAGAACTTGACCCCAGGACCATGATCTCAGCTGAAGGCAGGCGCTCAACCACCGAGCCACCCAGGTGCCCCCATTTTTTTTTTTTAGTAAACTTTGTTAATGTCCCATGCATCTAAGGTATGACCAGAGCAGAGACTTTATTTTATTTTTCTTTTTAAAGATTTTATTTTTATTTATTTATCTATGAGAGAGACAGAGAGAGAGAGAGAGGGGCAGAGACATAGGCAGAGGGAGAAGCAGGCTCCATCCAGGGAGCCCGACGTGGGGCACGATCCTAGAGTCCCACGGACTGCTTTTCGGCCCTGGACCGAAAGCAGGTGCTAAACTGCTGAGCCACCCAGGGATCCCCTAGAGCAGAGACTTTAAATGACCAGTTTTTAAATGCTTTATTGTAAATATTAAGTTTGTTCATAGAGGTGCAGAAAATAAGATGCTTTGGACAGGCAACATACGAGCTGACTTCTGCTTTCACGCGTATGAGGAGCTAAAGCTGGGGCTGACCGTCAGCATGCGTGGAGACCCGGGGTGTCTGTAGTAACGAAACTCGGCCGTTTCTTCCTTGTGCTGTATGTATGAACCTGCCTGCCATCCTATTTGCAGCAATGCCCTTGCTGAAGAAGAGCAAATGGGTGCTGAAGTTATATTGAGCCAGGCCAGACGAAATCGGTTAGATGAGTGAGATCTATCTACTTAATCACCCCTTCGAGTGACGATGATTTGGAGTGTTTCCTATAGAGCAGAATAAGAGCTAAATTACCTTTCATCCAGCATGATTAATCATATTGGTTGTTTATCTGTTTCTCTCCCTGGCCATGACACATTCTCCTTCCTAATTTCTTTTAAAGAATGGCTTCTTCCAAAACACTAAGCGTTCAGAAAGCTTTAAATGATGTATAATTTATCCGTCTGGCCACACAGATTCCTTCAGAGTCATTACTGACTCATTCCTACAGAGTCATTAAATCCATCAGCGGCACATTTGCTGACTTAATAATAAGCAGATTTGGTTTTCGGGAGACTCAGGCAGCCGTAAAGGGCAGATCCATGAGGCTTTATCCCAACCGCTACCAGCGCGCAGGGGCAGGGTGCTCATGTCACACCAGGGGAATATCTAGGGGCCTGAAGCTTTGACAGATTTGGAGGCCCTTTATAAATAATTCAAATTATTAGATGCAAAATTAAACATTCACTTAGAATCATCATGTAAATGACCACTGTAACAGCACAATACTTGAAGCTGACAAACTCTGGAAGGATCTCAAAATTTAGAAAATAACATGTTTCATATTTAGCTATCTGATACATTCCTCACTAAAATTACTGTCTGTGTATGCTTGATTGCCTATCCTTGCAACAGTGATTTTGTCCTGCTTTCTCCTGAGAGAATAAAAGGAGAAATCAGACTTTCCTCTGATTGGGTTGGTCCAGTAATGGATGGGTGGTGAATCATCATGGTGGACGAAACGATGTTTTTTTGTTTTGTCTTGTTGCTACGGGTGAAATGATGTTTTTTATTATTGATTGTGTGGGAAGATTTCTTTTGGCCTCACAAATTATTATTGGTACATTTTTAGGATTCTTAATCAATTTTAGGAAAACTGCTCTTGAGCGTCTGTCATAGACAAACTGTAGGATTTCAAGGCATTTCAGAGATTTGCTGTTCCAGAAGCTGATCTTAGGTACTTTGTGAATTGATAACACTCATGGACCAGCTTGTCTTCAGTGTCCCTAATGTTGTGGCGTATTATGAGGGTCAGGGCAGACCCTGTACCTTCACTTATCAAGGTGGACTGTGTCCGAGGAGTGGGTGGTAGGACCATTACCAACAGTCCTTCTTGCCCCAGGGCAGCTGGCAATAACTAAACCATACCCAGAAGAGTCTGTGAACCACATAAATATCCCACTAAACCAAAACTATATGTAACCCCATCTATTTCCTGAGTCATGATCCCAGAATGCCCCGATGGCTCCTCCTCCACGACCTAACACAGGGAGAGCTATGGTTGAGGAGGAGCCGCAGTGGGAAGGAGACCGTGGCCTCCGCCGTTTGTGGTGAAAACATCGTACTCCTATAAATTTTACAAGAACATAGGGCCGTGCAAGCATTTACAAGTGCTTCGCATGAGGAGCTATGAAACGTAAGCTTTATTAGTTTCATGGTAAATCCACGTCTTCACGTTCGTCCACTCAGATTTTGCTCCACCAGAGCTGCTGCTGTTTCTTTCGGAAGCTTCCAGGTTTCCTTGTTGAGCGTAAGGACCAGATCTGTAGAAAATGTGACGCAAACCTACAGGAGGCGTGCACGTGGCTGTATTTCAATGGGGCCAGTTTATTACATTTAATAGAACAATTATGTGGCATTAGGGGACCAGTGACTTTTAAATCAGAGCTTAAAACTGTCTACGAAGCTTTTTAAAAATACACCCAGAAATTCTGATTCTGTGGCCCCATGGTGCAGCCCAGCAATCTCCAATTTTCAGTTTCCCAGCTGATTTCTGATGTGCTGCCAAGTGTGAGAAGCACCAACGTAGGTACAGCGTTTGATGAATGCCTCTGCCTGACACAGCCCCGTGGGGCAAAGTGAAGGGTGAACGTACAAGGAGGCTTTTTTATTTGGTACAAGCACAAGTGGTAAGTTCTCCCATCAATCAACTGCACCCGCACTTGGTAAGGAGACTCTGATAGGTTTTGTAGTAGCTCAGGCCCTTTTGGGTGCAAATGGAAAATCCCATTTCAAACCAGTTGAGCCGTAGAAAGGAACCTGCCAGCTCCTGCGGCCAAAAGGTCCATTTCAGGCAGGGCTGAATTGGGGTTTCACGTGCCCTTCCACAGAGCATCGCCCACAGACAGAAAGCACCCCTTTCAATAATGAGTCTTGGAAGAGAGTTTTATTGCCCTGGCGGGGTCGAGTCGCTGCATCCAGACCGTCTGACTGGCCAGACCTGAGCCAAAGGCCCACCTCTGTGGCCTTCAGGGTTGGTCAGCCTCACTGACCCATGTGACCTGGGAAAGCGGGTGTGTGTCCCCCTCAGGAAGATCAGGGTTGCAGGCAGAAACAACTGGTGAATGGGTGGTTGGCTCAGTGACCTCTGGAGCCACTTCCAACTGAGGGCACACTTGCTTTGGGTTTGCTCAGTTCTCAGACTTGCCGGGCCTTGGAGGGGTGCACGTCCAACAGCCTGTTCCTGACAGCTGGGGCCCTGGGCGGTGGGGAGGGGGATGCTCCAGAACCTGTCTGGTGATCTGCGGCTTTCTACCTCCTGTTTGGGTGAGGTGACTGCGAGCAGTTTTGCAACAGCCCACACTGTAGTGGTGAATCAGAGGGGTTAAGCAGAGAGGTGGAGTCAAGATCCAAAGCCAAAGGAGACAAAGTCAGCAGGTTGACAAGAGGATGTTTCCAAGTACATGGAGGTGTGGATGTGAAAATAATTTTTGAGCACGGCACAGCCAATCCCACGATCAGTTTACCAAATGTGTTTCTCCATAATGAGATATGTGCTTTTTTGCCTTTAACTATCACAAGTCCCTGGGAAGATAGACCCAGAGATGGGCCTCCCATCACCCCTCGAGGAAGATCCACTCTGCAGCTATGGGGCAGTCCATCGCCACACGGCTCCCAGCTGCTGGCCCCCCTTCAGGGCCTGTGGGTCGCAAACAGCAGCTGGGGCTGAGATCATGCCCATCGTGGGCAGCGTGCATCTGCAAGTAGGGTATGAAGGCCCAGCATTTCAGGCCACTGAGGCACAACTTTAATAGGCGTTGCTTCCTCTATAGCTGCCCACCCGTCTGGGCGCTTTGTGAGGCCTGCAGCTCCTCTTCCCCTCTACCCAGTTCTTCCCACATGCTTTCACTGCTGTTGAGGCCTAGTAGACATCGTGGACCCCAGACTTCATTTCAGTATCTGCCTCTGGAAAACCCACTCGGTGGTAAGTATCATTAGGTGACATTCTAATCGGCCTATTAGAAGTAAGAGGAAACCTTCCACTTGCAAACTTTTTAATTCTTGAAAAAAAAAATAGACCTAAGACTCCTTCTCTTTTCCTTAAAAAACAAAAGATAGTGTGACACCTGAAACTAATATAACGCTGACTGTTAATCGTATGGGGATTTAAATTTTTTCTTTAAATAAGGATACCACATTAAAAAAATCTGAACTGTGCATTTGTGCACTACTCAGATACAACAGAGTGGTTGATTCTGTTGATAGATCTTCCATAATTTTTTTTAAGTGCAGATTTCTGGAATGACATACAGAAGATTAGCATGGCCCCTGCGCAGGGGTGGGGGGATGACATGCAAATTTGTAAAGCGCTCCATATTTTTTAGAAAGGAAGAAAGGAAAAGAAAAAAGATTTCCCCCTCAGTTGTTTCTATTAGCCTCTCTTATGAATCAAGGTGAAATGTTTTCTTGAGTGTCGCCAAACTTTGAGGACCGTGTAAATTCACAAGAGGTTGTGCAGAGAAAAAGATCTTCAAGTTTAATTAAATACTTGGGTAGGAAATAGTCATTGTCTTCATCATATTTTTTTTAAGATTTTATTTTTGAGAGAGAGAGCGAGACAGAGCATGAGTGGGTGAGGGGCAGAGGGAGAAGCCGACTCCCCCTGAGCAGGGAGCCCGAGGCTCGATCCCAGGACCCTGAGATCATGCCCTGAGCTGAAGGCAGATGCCTAACCGACTGAGGCACCCAAATGGCCCCATCATATGTTTCCGTCAAAATTTTTATTTTTATTTATTTTTTTTTAATTTTTTAAATTTATTTATGATAGTCACAGAGAGAGAGAGAGAGGCAGAGGGAGAAGCAGGCTCCATGCACTGGGAGCCCTACGTGGGATTCGATTCCGGGTCTCCAGGATCGCGCCTTGGGCCAAAGGCAGGCGCCAAACCGCTGCGCCACCCAGGGATCCCCTCCGTCAAAATTTTTAAAAATTAAAATAATACTAAACTCAACACCAAAACTGTTTGAAACATTTTTCATCCATAAAGGCATTTCAGTATCTCAAAATAAAACATATCTGCATGATGATTTTGAACCTTGGTTTTATTTCATTACAGCTGTGGAGAGTTGCTACTTAATAAAGGCCGAGAGTTTTTAGAGTCTGTTAAATTATTTTCTGTAAATGGAGTAAAATATCCTAATTTGGACTTTTAAAATGCATTTTTAAATCCATGCCCTACCGCCCACAGCTAAAAAATGTAAGCAGCTCAGAACAACTTCGAATGAGAAAAGATTAATCCCACGTCAGTACTTGGCAGTACTCCTCTCTTCTCGCTGCCTTTCCCCAAGCAGCCACTGTTAATCATTTATGCTGTACGTTCTGTTGGTGGTTACCTAATGCATCTCTAAATTACATACTTACATCGCCACTTCTTGATCTGTCGGCTTTGGATATTAAATATTGATTTTTCTGCTATCGTGGGTGAGGATTTAGTTCCTCCAGTGTCCCAATTTGTGTTTTTGTATTTCTATTTTTGGTTTCTTTAGAACTGTAAATAATATGCTAAAAAATCTTTTCTTATTCCATTGGTTTTCCTGATTGCTCCTCTTGTGATAAGACTGTTCACACCTGGGCAGCTCCAGTGGTCAGCGGTTTAGCGCCGCCTTAGGCCCAGGGTGTGATCCTGGAGACATGGGATCCGGACTGAGTCGGGCTCCCTGCATGGAGCCTGCTTCTCCCTCTGCCTGTGTCTCTGCCTCTCTCTCTCTCTCTCTCTCTCTCTCTCTCTCTCTCTCTCTCTCTCTCAGTGTGTCTCTCATTAATAATATCTTAAAAAAAAAAAGACTGTTCAACCTTTACCCTTTCTCCCACATTTCTTCCCTCCTTCCTTTCCTGACCTCTGATCAGTGTTCTCTAACCTTTATACCATCCGTGTTGATAGACGTTTATTGTTTTGTAATCGTGATTAAGCCTCCTGTGCTTTGTCTGTAGGTTGAATCTACGTGTCGAAAGAGAAGAAAGAAAAACAGTGTTTACCGTTTTATGAGCCATGTCATGTGCTTCGAACATGCCTCTTTGTGGTTTCGTTGTCAGGAAACTTGAATCTCCCAAAGGGAAATGTTCTGGGCATCAAGGTCAAATGTCTTCTCCTTTCTTATATTGTCGGTTATTCAGAACCACACTCCAGTTTAGTTGCTGTGTGTTAGAATTGTGATTTTTTTTTTCTTAAAAGTTGTTATTTATTTGAGAGGCAGAGGGAGTGGGAGAGGCAGAGTCCCCGCTGAGCAGGGAGCCCAAGGCAAGCTTGATCTCAGGACCCCGAAATCATGATCTGAGCTAGAGGCAGGCCCTAAACTGGCTGAGCCACCCAGGTGCCCCCAAATGCTGATTTTTTAAAGGGATATTTTCCCCTTCTTTCTGATTCCTTTCTCTTATTATTGCTAGTGAATGAAAAATAATGGGCCTTAATAACTGTTGTTTGTGTATCTTATTGATTCTGTTGATTGAATTTCTCCTTCTTTTCCTCCTCCTACCTCTTGGAGAATGTCCCCTCGGGAGTGCTCTGATTTCACATTCTAACTTGAACTGATTTTTTTCAGAATAGCGGCTCAAGTGTCACCTTGAAGTGTGCTTTCACTAGTGACATGGTTTGTTAGCTCCCATATCATCCTCTGGCGTGGTGTTTACCTTCAGGTAAATTCTTCAGAAATAATGCAGTCGAAACTTTGTGAGTTCTTGCATGTCATGAAATGAGAATGACTGTTTCCCATTCTGAGTTGATAGCCTTTATATGACACCCTTGATGCAAAACTGTATTTCCTCCGAAATTTGCTGCTGAGAAGCTGGTGCAGTTGAGTTTTATTTCCTGTGGGTGACCTGTTCTTGCTCTCCAGAAGATTTAGAATATTCTTTTATTGTTGGTGCCCTGAAGTTTCACAATGATCTGTCTTGAGTCTGGGTCTTTAAAAATGAGGACTATATTTAAGACATAGGAAGGGGTGTACAGAATAATATAATGGAAATAACACACTGGATGTTCTTTAAAAAAAAGATTTTATTTATTTATGAGATACACAGAGAGAGAGGCAGAGACACAGGCACAGTTTTTTTTTTAATTTTTATTTATTTATGATAGTCACACAGAATGAGAGAGAGAGGCAGAGACATAGGCAGAGGGAGAAGCAGGCTCCATGCACCGGGAGCCTGACGTGGGATTCGATCCCGGGTCTCCAGGATCGCGCCCTGGGCCAAAGGCAGGCGCCAAACCGCTGCGCCACTCAGGGATCCCCAGAGACACAGGCAGAGGGAGAAGCAGGCTCTCTGTGGGGAGCCCGATATAGGACTCCATCCTAGGATCCCGGGGTCACGCCCTGAGCTGAAGGCAGATGCTCAACCCCTGAGCCACCCAGATGTCCCCAAAATGGGATATTCCTTTTTCCATTTAGTCTCCATGGCTCACGAAGGTCCCCGTTATTAGAATTTTTACTAGTTGAATGGATTGATCCTCTGTGTCTCTTTTTTTTCCTCCCATTATCTATTTCTTTGAGGTTTAATTGTCATTGCTATTTCTTTGGTGGGGGGGAAATCCTGTGACTTTATCTTTCAGTGATTCCTTTGATTCTAAATTTTTTGTTACCAAGTTTTTGAATTCAAAGAGCTGATTCTTGTTTTCTTTTTTTAGATTGAGGTGTAACTGATACCGAATGCTATGCTAGTTTAAGGTGTACAACATGATGATTTGATACATGTATGTATTGCAAAACGATTACCACAGTACCTTGAGTTAACATCTGTCACCACATATTTACAATTTGTTTCTTGCGACGAGCACTTTTAAGATTCACTCTTAGCGACTTGCAAATTACACAATACAATATTAGGAACTGTAGTCACCATGCTGTATATTGCATCCCCAGGACTTTTCCTGTGGCCTGAAGTTTTGTTCTTGTTTTCTGAGGCCCCCGTTATGTAAGTACTTTTCATGACTATTATGTCTTTTGGGAAAAAAATATTTTATTTATTTATTTGAGAGAGAGAGGAAGAGTGCATACATGTGTGCACACACACACACACATGAGCTGGAGAAAAGGCAGAGGGAGAAGCAGAGAGCCCAACGTGGGCCTCGATCCCAGGACCCCAAGATCATAACTGAGCTGAAGTCAGACATTTAACCAACTGAGCCACCCAGGTGCCCCTGTCCCTATATTTTTATTTCCTGTCTCATACCTGTCTGCCATACCTGAACGCAGAACCCCACGGGAGCTGTGTTGAGAACATTGGTTCCCTTCTTCACTAAAGCTACCTCCTGGAATATTCTGGAGTGCCACCTCCTCAGCTGTTAAACTTCAATCTGTAATCTGTTGCCATCTTCCAGAAATTTCCTTAAATCTCTCATCTGCAAGATCACTCTCTGAATAGCTTGCTTTTATTCCTGTACTATTATTTTAATGGGATTTCCACACAGAAGAGAATCAAAAATATGTGTTCAGCATGTAGATGCCATCATGACTCCAAAAGAAAAATAAAGTAAGGATTTTTCCATTCTACTCTCATTTAAAAACTTAACAGACGTGGAGAAAAGCTAAGAAGTTTATGACACATTTCTCCCGAAGGACCCTATGAGGATAAACTTCCACATTGTTTGAATATAAAATCATCAAGTTCTCATCATGAATGAGCGCTCTTTGTGTCTAGTCCCTGACTGATACGGTCTCATTGAATGTTCGTTTTATAGATGGAGAAACTGAGGCTCAGTTAAGCATTTCACACAAGGTCACACAGTAAGTGGCAATTCAGTTTCAAAACCTGGTTCTAGGGGATCCCTGGGTGGCTCAGTGGTTTGGCACCTGCTGTTGGCCCAGGGTGTGACCCTGGGGTCCTGGGATCGAGTCCCACATCGGGCTCCATGCAGGGAGCCTGCTTCTCCCTCTGCCTATGTCTCTGCCTCTCTCTCTCTGTCTCTCTCATGAATAAATACATAAAATCTTAAAAAAAAACACAAACAAAAAAAAAAACAAAACTTAGTTCTGGGGCCCCAAGGTGGCTAAGTGGTTGAGAGCCAGCCTTCGGCTCAGGACATGACCCCAGGGTCCTGGTATCGAGTCCCGCAGTGGGCTCCCCACAGGGAGCCTGCTTCTCCCCCTGCATATGTCTCTGCCTCTCTCTCTCTTTCATGAATAAATATATAAAATCTTTTTTTGGTACCAAGTATGAAGGATACCAACAGAAGCAACTTATGAGCGTGAGATAAAGACCCTAAATATCTAGTTCGATTGACAGTAACCACAGCCCATGCGTACAACAAAGGCGACCAGAAATTCTTTGTGAGAAGGGACTCTCGACGGTTCTCTCTGCTGAAGACTGAACGTTCCAAGGGAGAAGGTC